CTCCACGGTGAAGAGGAACCATTGCTGAGCACCCTTTGGCTTTGGCTGGTCAACCAACTACACATCCATGTAACAGTTACCTTGTCTAGCCCACAGTTTGCTAGTTTATTAGCCAGAATGTCATGTGGAACCTTGTCAAAGGCCTTATTGAAATCTCATTTTGATGTGGGTGGTATGTCTGGCATTACCGGATTCACTGTGGACCAGGAAACTGCAATGCAAAGCAGGATTTATTAATTTTGTTTGTCAGTGTAGACAATCCCTTACAAAAAAATGCACTACAACTTCCAGAATCCTTCAGCCACCATAGCTGCTGTTGACAATTATAGTATGACAACTTTATAGAGTCAAAATCCAATTGTTGCCCACACTGATCTTGTGGGTAGGGGATACTGTTCTAGAGCAGTTTGATACTGTTTGATACTGTTTTAGCAGTTTGATACTGTTATAACTGGCATGGGTTCTATGGAATCCTGGGCTTTAAAGCTTGGTGAGGTATTAAACATTTTCAGTTCACTGCCTTCAACTATAGCACTAATATAGAAGAAAAAATTAAACACATAATGAAACCACAAACCCAGGATTTACTAGAATGGAACCATAACAGGTAAAAAGGTATAATATGCTATGGTTGTATACTATCACAGATTTCTCCTTTTCTCTAGAACACACTTTCTGTCCATTGTGAATTCACCAATATTCCAGTAGGGGTCACTCATTCTTTTCCTTTTGTGTAGACCACGGTTCACATCTGCAAAAATAGTTTTGGTGTGTGCAACACATACTGGCAAAACCACCTCTGAGTACTCCTGGCCTTATCTTGTGAATCGCCTTGGGTCCCTTTTTGGGGAAAAGGCGGCACAGAAGTAAAATAAATAAATAAGTAAAAATAAGTAATTCGTATGAAATTCATGGGATTGCCATAAGTAAAAAAAAACAAAAAACCACCACAAACTCAATTAAAGTAGCACATGCCCAGATCATGCCACTAAAAAGCTTTTCTGTAAGCAAGAAAGGAAGTGCTTTATCTCCTGTAAATATTATTGTATATCATCACAAAAGGGAAGTGTTCATAACTTCCCACTGGCAAAAATTTCCCATTGTCCAAAAAAGAAGAAGAAAAAGCAAATGATAGGAGAACAGCAACAAAAACACATGATGCTGCTGCAATGATGGGAAAGTCAAGGGATGTGAAGAAAGGGATTCTACAGTCCATTATTAAAAATTTGGTGCCTACTTCGCTGGTTTTTAATACCAGCCCCAGCCCATTAAAAAGAAAGCCGGGCCATTTTCAGAAGTGCTGCTTATTCCTTCCTTGTGTTTACTATACCTGCTTTACTATACATATATACCAATGCTTATGTAAACATGGCCATAGTTGACCATTGCAAGCTATGTTTGCATCTGAATGTGCATGTTTTTGTGTGTGAGAGAGAGGGAAGAAGGGAGAGAAAGGAAAACTTTTTCATTTATTTATTTCTAATTGCATTTCATTGAACATGACAAATACTCAACAGTGCAAAATTCATTGATATTATAAAACAGGCAAAGAATAAGAATATTTATCTATTTCCCACTGAACTGTTCCATTGAAGTTACATTATGGATGTACAGAGATGAAAGAGTTTGCCAACATTAATCTCTCCAAGTGTCATTTGATGTTGGGGAGATTGTCTTTCATGTTTAGGTAAATTATGAAGGTGCATTTTCCAGAGCTGCTAGTCATATACCAGAGGCAGAAATAACATGACAAGAATTCTGGTTCCTACACCACAAAAAAGAAGAGCAATGCAATAAAAAGTTTGGAACTTTTTATCCAAAACTAACAATATGCACACATGAAATGAAACAACCGGGTCAGATAAGGCTTGTATAAGTATATAAAAACATTTCAAACCTCTGAGAAATCACTTGAAGGCTTCTTTCAAAATGCACCCAGGAATGACCTTTTCTTTCATCATCTTCCACTTTACTTATGATTTCCCTTTTGCCAGTCAATCTTATAGATCAATGCTTTTTCAACATGGTAGAGGTAAGCTGGTGAGGTAGGATAATCTGTTTTCCCCCTTTATCTCTGTTTTGCTGTTCAGGTATGCTCAGTAAGGGGTTCTGGAGGCAGCTGCTAGAATAGAATCTTATCCTTTCCCAGTTCAAGCTTCAATAACATTGTTTACTACATATGTACTACTGTAACCTGATCTCAATAGTTTGTGTTTCCCTGGCCCTCCTTCACCACCCTGCCCATGCTGATGCTGCTAAAAATCTTCCAGCTAATAGAGGACAAAGAAGAGAAGGGGTGCTTGACATGAGTAACAAGACTGTAAAGAGAGGTTTCTTCATCAGGGCTTTATTAACAATGGTGTACATGTACTTTGGACTACAATTTGCACTGTCCCTTGCATACTGAATGGGGCGATGAGAGCAATAGAACAAAATATCTGGAAAACCAAAGATTTTTCAAACCCGCCACTGAGATTAGCAACTGCTTCTGTCTTTGGAGATTATGTGGGTAGCTGTCATGTCTTTTTCAATTGTAAATCTGAGGGCAGGGAACTGTCAAACTAACAATCTGTAAACTGCTCTGAGAGCCTTTGTAGCTGAAGAGCAGGGTATAAATACTCCGAATAAATAAACTGGATTTTTTTGTATTGTGGTGCTCAGATGGTGGAATGTTGTTTTTGTGTGTCTTTAAGTGATTTTTGAATTACAATGGCCCTAAGGCAAATCTAACATGGGGGGTTCTTGGCAAGATTTCTTCCAAGACTGAGAGTGTGTGACTTGCCCAAGATCACTCAATGGGATCCATGACTGAGCAGGGATTCGAACCCTGGTTTCCAAGAGTTCTAGTACAATGCTCAAAACACTACACCATTCTGACTCTCAATGGCAGAATGCTATTCCCAAATATATTCACTTGGTGTCCTTTTATACTCTGGGCGAAACCCCTTTTTTTAGGCTTTGATCCTATACACTGATGAAGGGAATTATGCAGCTGTCAAGATGTTGGCTTGTGACTCCCAGCATTCTTCACCATTGGCTACACTGGCTAGGGCTGCTGGGAGATGCAGTTCAACAGCATTGGAGGACCACATGATTCCCACTGCTACTGTTTACACTTGTTGTGTACCTTCAAGACATTTTCAACTTATGGAGACCCTAAGGGGGCCCTATCGTGGGGTTATCTTGGCAAGCTTTATTCAGAGGAAGTTTGCCATTGTCTTCCTCTGAAGCTGAGATCATGTCACTTGCCCCATTGGGTTACCTGGATCCATTTTAATTAAGTGGATTTTAAAATCTGAATCAATAGATAGAGATCATTTTTTTAATATTAGACATTTATTATTGACCATGCTATATGAGGATAATTTGATGTTTAGTTCAAAACATCTGAAAGGCACCAAGTTAGCAAAAGCTAATTTAGTGGTTTTGATGGGGGTGGTATTTTTAATTTGTATTAGTATTGTCCAGGTTGAGTATTCCTTATCCAAAATGCTTGGGATTAGAAGTGTTTGGATTTTGGAATATTTGTATGTACATAATGAGGTATCTTGGATATGGGACCCAGGTCTAAACATGAATTTCACTTATGTTTATTGTACACATAGCCTGAAAATAATTTTATACAATATATTAAATAATTTTGTGTATGGAACAAGCATTTCAAATTTCAGATTTTCAGATAAGGGATACTCAACCTGTATTTTCATTTTTGTCTAGTTCTTAGTTGAGCAGCTGATATTTGTAAACTCACATGAACTTCAATTTGATGGATGTTCAGCAGGGATTTTTTAAAAAAATCTTGTAAATGTTATGCTACTTGGTGGTGCTGACGTCAGTAGGCAGTGAATCTGCTGTGGCCTTCAAATGAGCTGCTCAGCAGAGTGAACCCCATCCTCCAAATAAGTCCAGCACCTTGGACACCTCCATTAAAGTCAGAGTAAAAGCCAGAGTGGATTCACTGCCCTGCTGACCTTGAAGCCGTCAGATGCTTTTGTGTAAATGAATGGATGGCCTAGCAGTTTGCAATTCAGGCTTCCCTACTATCTGCTTTGTAAGAGGGAATGTTCACATATGAGGCTTAAATTGCTGCTTATGGTAATGCATGGTCCAGTTAATAGCCATGATGGAATAGTAGAAAGGTGTTTGCACTGATGTCGGGCAGCTCCCATGTCAGTGGGGTCATGAATTCACACCAGGTTTAAAACCAGGCTTTAAAGGAGTTCTCCAAGGTGCCTTAAAATGAGTTCAGCACCTTGGATAGTTCCTTTGAAGGTCTCAAAACCCTGTATTCACTGCCCTCTGAAGTAGAAGCTGCCAACCACCACTGAGTATTTGCCATGGACATTTTGGCCATGGTGGGTTTTATATTTGCCTTATAAACTTAACTTATGCAAGAGTAGTTTGATGCCTGGATTGTGGGAGGAAAAGCCTAATTAATTATCATGTTCCAGACTTAAACATGTGTTCAATCATCTATAATAACTATTAGGAAGGTTTGGGTTGCAAATTTCATTGAGGATGTTCATGTTTAGTAGGCATTTCCAGATAAGGTGGCTAGATGCAAAAAATAAAAAGAGAGAGTTATAGTTTCCCAGGCCTTTTCTCTGACCATCCAATTGCAATACCTACCCTCTCTTTTTCAAAACTGGAATTGACTGGATGGTCATTTCTAAGCCTGAGGAAAGGCTTTTTCAAAACTCAAAAAAGGTCCAGTAGGAAGGAAGGAAAAGTCTTATTCATGTCCTTTGGAGATTTTTCACAGAGACATTCATCAGTGGGAGCCCAAATAATTGTTGATGATGAATGCTTGTACTGGGGGACTTTGTGTGCTACATGTGCCCCATGGACTGTACAATTTGCATCTCTGAACTAGTCCAAAGTATTCAGGAGTGAGCTTTGGCTTTCACTCTCCTATATTCCCAGCAGGGTTATTAATTTAATCTATCAGTTTCTGTCTCAGCTTTTAGGAAAACTCCATATAAGAATAACTTCCTGGCACCAGCAAATGATTTCCGAAGCAAAATTTGGCTGCGGCAGTGTGTACTTTCCTGGACCATTAAATTGTCTTTGAATAAAGTGTAAACCTGGGATCAGCTTTAATCTTTTTACTTTCCCAGAACTTATGTCTGTGACATGTACAACTTGAAAGCCCTTTACCAATAAAAGCCAACTCAATGATGAATTGCCTTACTGTGTCATCTCCAATTCCCTGGAAGTGATGTAGCAAAAACAACACAAATCAGCACTGTTGGCTGTCACTTGTTCACAAAGTTTTCTCATTGCATAGAAGAGGGAGATAACAAATATTCTCTTCCACCTACTACTACTTCTGGCTAAAACTCTTTGAATCTTTCACATAGCATAGCCAGGGGCCATGCTTGCTGGGGGATTCTGGGAGGTTGTAGCCAAAAATAGTAACTTGCCAATCCCTGACTTTGGGCAAGTCACACTCTCAGTCTCAGAGGATAGCAATGGAAATCTCCCCTCTGAAGAAACTTGCCAAGAAGACCCCATGATTGCCATAAATTGCCTTAGGATTGCCATAAACTGGAAATTACCTGAAAGCACACAACAACAACAACAACAACAACCCCCTTCTCCATCCAACAACACATACCCTATGCAAGGCAAGAATTGTATAACTCAGCATCTCTTCTCTCTCCCGAAGAGCCCTGACTAGTCAAGAGAAGTGGCCAGGTTTGAAATCACAAAGATATTTTGTCTCTAGAAAGGAATGGGAAAAGCAGCAGAAGACTTGGACCCCAGGTTGCTCAAAGCTAGTGAGGGGCTCTTTTAGGCTTTGTTTGTGCTGTGCTAGATTGTATTATGCTTTGCTATCCTGGATAGCCATCTAGTAGTAAAGCTAACTCTGGGCTCACTCCCTCTTACATTTAACCCAGTTTGCAATTTGCTTTCACTCTGGGTCGGTGAATTGATTCAGTCAATGTTTTGTTCCCACTGTGGAAACGGGGTTTTTTTTTTTTATTCACTTCTTTTTTTGGCATGATTGTCATTCCCACTAATTTGTGGCCCTTCAAAATGCCTATTAATCATCTACACATCATCAGTGATACAACCAGCAACACATTCAAGAAAACATGGGAGGGAGTCATGGGTGCCGTGGCCACAATTCTCCCCTGGGATGCATGCAGCCATGGGTGTCCTGGAGGGCTCTCCCCTTGGATGCATGCAGCCATGGGTGTCATGGAGGACTCTCTCCTTGGATGTATACAGCCATGGGTGTCATGGAAGACACTCCCCTTGGATTAATGCAGCCATGGGTGTCATGGAGGGCTCTCCCCTCAGATGCATGCAGCCATGGGTGCCATGGAGGACTCTCCCCTTGGATGCATGCAGCTATGGGTGTTATGGAGGGCTCTCCCCTTGGATGCATGCAGCCATGGGTGTCATGGAGGACATTCTCCTGGGATGCATGCAGCCATGGGTGTCATGGAGGACTCTCTCCTACGATGCATGCAATTTTT